TGGAGATGTTGTGTGTTGTGTGATTGCATCTGCAACATCCAAACTAGCGCCGTAGCAGTATGAACTCCCAGGATGTGATAAAAAAAACGCTAGTAAATCATACCTTAGAATAAGCTAGACCTAATAAGAACTTAATTAACTTTATAATTAGGAGAATTGAAAAGAGGTAAAAAGAGCTCGAAATTATTGTAAGGTGGAGTTGGTGTGGACCACAAATCTAATAAAGGGCTAAATGACGTATTCCGCAGCCCTTGAGCTATTAGGATATTGAATCTTGCTTTTTGGAAAATTGCATCACTTAGGAAAGGTCTTCCATATTCGGACTTCTTGCGCACATGTCTTTTATTCTGCACATATTTTATCTTCCAAGATGCTAATCGCTCTTTGCAGATTCGGCATGTAAGTTGTTTTGCTTTACTTTTACTAAGCTCTTACAGTCTTTTACAGTAGATCAAATAAATTAGCCTCCTACATGTGTCTTGCTTAAAGCTGGCATTGACGCAAAAACTGTATATGTATGTTTTCATAAAGCTTTACAAAGTAAACTATCAACAGATTGACAACACTCAAAGAGATCTGATAATCAACGCGAGGAATTCTTACTAAGTGTTTATGGAGGGCAAAAACTGAGCTTTTTTACATTCATTGAATTCCTTCTTTTGTGCGCTAACCATTCCAAGACTATCCAAATGGATTAGCTGTTGCGGAAATAGTTTATAAAGTCTTTGTTCTTTCGACAAAGGTTTCTAATGTCGTTTATGCAGAAAGATGTTTCAAACGTTTTCTACATCATTGAAATCAAATGTATTCAAAAGCGAACGTGTAGCCAACATAAGCCTACCCTAGAAAGTGTATTCGTCAAATTCGAATTTGCAAATTTGGAAAAAAAACCTGTTTGTTGAATGCGAAATATCTTGTCAGTTGTCGACGTAATGATAGAAGATTTCATTAAACAACCTAATCTAATACTATTAAGTTAAATATTTAATTCACGGTTTACTAGAACGCAATACCTTCAAGGTTCAAACATAAGCTGCAGGAAAAGTAATGCGATTTCTGAACAAATTAGTAAATAAGTTTGAGATGCGGCATATGAACCTCATGTAATTAACCTAAGCATCAATTCAGTCTTACTTATTGTTGGAGTTAAAATTTGGTGCATCGACTATGTTATTCGCTACTTAGATAGTATAGACAGTGTAAGCTAGTCATAACCTATAGGAAAAACTTGAGCACAACTTCTTTAATTACTCTAAAGCGTGTTCGAGCAAAATTTTAAGCTTCTCATTTTCTCCGATCTGTTGCAGGGTGGACATGAATATGAACTTCGCTTATCGTGAAATTGTCAAAAAAAGGAGAGGTTCCCAAATTTTAAAACTGACGGGTATGAGCCCCAACAATGCGACTTCAACTTGTTCCAAAGCAACCACTGCTTTTTCTCTAAGCATGGATGGTATGAAGAGGAAAAGGACGGCTATTGCTCTAACTTATCTCCGTCGCTTTGAGAGG